TCTTGAGCCATGCTCCTTGCCCTTTTTACTTCAGTTATTTTTCCAGGTAGGGTCTCTTGTTCTGGGGCATAGGCCTCCCATTGTAGCTTTGATTGTACAGCTCCACACTGGCTTTGTTTGTTGAGATGGGATCTCCCTAACTTTCTGCCAGCCAGATTTCTGCCTCCTGAGTTGCTAAGATTACAGATGTAAGCCACTGCACCTAGTCTCTTTTCTTTAATGATTAAGAGATGCCGTTAGGGCAAAAGCAAAGGTATGGTAAGATCAAAAGTTAAAAACAATTTTTTTAAATGTCATAATGCAATGAATGAAGGTAGGTAAAGGAGTTTTTCCAATGAGTGTGGTACAAGAAAGCTACCATAATGAACAAAACATTGGTGGACATATAGCAAACATCAAAGAATTTATAAACCAGCCAGAGCTCGTGTTCCTAAAATTTGAGAGGTAAGGGTGAGTCATGACCTGCCCTGGAGTACCTTTGAGAAAATTATACAGACTTCCAAGGGAGCCTCTTCCGCTGGTTTTAGGTGGGTAGATAGAATTCTTCCGGGAGGGGTGTGTCTGCTTCCATGCACTCCTGTATCATTTACTCTCAATCTGCCAACTAATCATAGCTTTACTTTTTGGGTGTATATATTCATTCAGCGCCTTCCTCTAGATAACTTCTTTGTGCTTTTCCTGTATCATTCTGTAATTTCCCCAACCTATAGTCCTTAAAATATATGTAAATCATTCTTAAATGGAAATGGAATTTCTTAATCTTCTAGTCCCAACTATGAAGCTTAATTTCCATATATCCTCCAGTTCATAGAAGATATATGGAAGTCTTTTGTACATCTGAGTGAGAATAAGAGATTAGAGTGACAAAAATTGTAATGAGGGGGAAAGAGGGGAGGGAAGCCAGGAGACATTCCACATAGGAATTTAAAATAGAGGTTCAGCAATGGTGAGCAGTTTTGCCAGGACTGGAGACCAGACATCTCGAGGTGCACTTTCTTTAGTCACCACATTCCTGTTCCTAGGCAAATGATTCTACCTTTGTTCCTTTTTTCATTTCTTGGGAAAGGGCTGGCTAGGTAGACAGCCCTAGTGTTCTGGGATGAGTGTCTGTGTGACTAGAGCAGGAAAGGCAGTCATGGGAATGGTGGCCTTCAGCTGAACAAGCTAGCAATCAATCATTTTGGGGCTGCCTGAGGTTTTCAAGATGCAGACATACTAGTGTTGCCTGTGAAGCCAGTACCCCTTTAAAAACAAAAACTCCTGCTGCACAGATATTTCTATGTAGATCTTTGAACTTTCAGTAACAAGCCTTAATCCTTTTGGGCATAGTGACGGGCTCATGTCAGGTAACTCCTTGACCACAGTATGACTCAAGTAACTTCTTGGCAAATGTTTTATTGTGAACCATAGTCTTCACAGAGGAAGTGAACTTGGAGTAGGGCTGGGGTGTGGGTGCTGATGTAGGATGTGGCCAGCCCATCAAAGCCCTGCTCACTGGAGGGTCAAAGGACTCTAGAGCCCTGGGAGTTTACTGTTCAATCTTTGAGTCTAAACCAGTTCACTGGAAAGGGAGCACTCCAAATCCTTCCTGAGTCGAGACTAGATTAGGACTCACCATCATGTCCTGTGTTGGCACCTCTGCCCTCACCCCCTCAAGAGGATCTGACTCTTCATTCCTCCAGCTCACCCATGCCCAGTGGACCCCTGGGAGACAGAATGAGCACTTCTTACCTCTCCTACCATCAGCTTTCTTCTGGACTCACTTCTGAATCCACAGTGGTCCTACCTTATGGCTCCTCTGAAATGAATGAGGCCTGAGCTACCACTGCCAGGTCTTTGGGCATAATTCTGTATTCTACTTACCAGCACCCAGAAGCAATATCAGAGCAGTGAGAAAGGAGTCACCGAAACTTACTTCCAAGGGCCAGTGCTTTGCTTAAAAGCCAAATTTGAATCTATGACTTTGAAACATTCTTCACCTCCCATGCACTAATTAATAACTTTGGAACTATTAACTGGGGCTTCTTTTTTGGCCAATTGCCCAGGCAAATTTATTTTGTCTCCCCCCTCCAATCTCCGCCCGCCTGCCACTAGGGATTGCACTCAGGGCTTTGCACTTGCTAGATAGGCACTCTGTCACTAGCTCTGCCCCCACCCTTTATTTGGCCCTTTGTGTCAGGCTTCAAGACCACACAACCAGTGGCCTCTAGGACAATGGTACTGGGGATTTTGATTTCAAAAGAAAAAAAGTTACCCTAAGGTAACCTACAAGGGCCAGAGGGCTGCTCAAATGGTTAGTTACGTTTGTAGGTCTCACTGTGGGCTGGGGGCAGGATGCAAGGCCAACCCTTTGCTGAGCTGAACTTAACCGGCCCGGTGGCCTTGAGTAAGCACCTAATCTCTCCAGGTCTGGTCCTTTGCTTTGGGGAGCATAAGAGGCAGTGATCTGCTGAATTAGCATTTAAGTTCAGGGCACCAGCCTTGGCAGGCTCTGATAAGGTTTGGCTTGACTCTGTTCTTCTTGGCCTTGCTAACAAATGGAAATAAAACTCAAGTCAGCAAGAACCAGCTTTATCCTCTGGGTCAATGCCAATTTGTCAAAAATTTGGCAAAGCTACATTGGTATTAGCGAACTCTCAACATAGCTTCCATCATTGACACACACAAAATTTGTCATGTTGGAGAAACATAGCTCTGAAAACCCTCAGTGTCAAAGTGTGTACAATGGAGGGAACACTTCTTGCATTGCCTGACATTTCTAATTTCTTTCCAAAACTCCTGTCTCTAGCTCTGGAAATGATGGCTTCCCAAGCACACTAGTGCTGTTTTGGTTGGAGAATTCAGATTTCTTTCCCCCTGTATGCACAATCTGACTGTAGATCTCTCTTAAAAAATTACATCTATAAACAGTGTTGACAAGTTGAAAAATGGTTACCACACACACACAAATGTTTGTTCAAGTAAGAAGGATGTATTTTCCTTGAGAAACAAGAAAAGTTGGGCTCAAAGTATTACACACTGGAGGACACACACTAGCTTACACAAAAGGCGGACTTTGTTTCTGCTAATGACGTCTCTGGGAGCAGTAAGCAGGGGAGTTCTCTTACCGCCGGTCTCAAAGTTCAGAATGTGTCCACGAAGTGTGTTCTCTCCTAACAGACTGTGGAACTCTCACTGAGAGCTTCTACTTTTTGAAGATGCTTATGTTCTCCCCTGTATCCTTTCTCTGTGAGGTTCCACCATGTTTTAACTCTGAACGAGGCCACTATTCCAGCTCTCTTACTTGAAATCAGGACTGTGGAGTTCCTGCAGTGCATTCTGAGTATGCAACTTGAACTCCATGCTTCACGGGTATCTAAATGGCAACCTTGTTGGCTTCCAGCCTTGGCCTTTTCATGACAGAGTCCTAATCATATCCTGACTTCACAGGTGTGGCCTGCTCAGAGGTTATCACACTGGGTCAGCCCAAGACATGTGCCATGAGGAGATAGGGCTGTCCTTTTATTCTGATCTGAAAGATGAGGTAATCATTCTTCAAAATTGGCATGTTGCTTCATGCCAATTTATCTGACCCCTGGGACTCCAGGGAGGAGGTCTGATGTTAAACTACTATCCAGCCACTGCCTTTTTTCTTGCTGTAAAATGATCGCGAGTGGAAAAATTCAACTAGGGCTTTGGAGCCACACAGACCAAGCCGCTGCACCCCCCCCCCGCCACTTTTGTGAACTGAGGAACTATCAACAGGTTGGCCTTTGATAGTCTATTAGCAAAACAAGACTCGATGTGAAGTTTAATGGAGTAACACTTGTAAAGTGCATACTGGCTCTGGTATATTGGTATATGATAACATTAATGCTCATCCTTACCTGGGCAGTTTTGCTCTCCTGGCTTCACAAAAATGCATTCTTAAATGCCCACAGTGGTCTTTGCAGCACAGGTGCCAAGTTGAGGACGGCAGCAGTCATTATTTACCAGTGTGCCTAGAAGCCCAGCCTGTGCCGTGCACTGTCATGGTTTACACATCAGATCCCCACAATTGTCTGTCAGCACACACAGCACCTTAGACAGGTAGGGCAGCTCCTGATTTGAATCAGATCTGGCTCCTGAGGTGAAAGTGCTAGGTTCAGGAAAGGCTTCCCAGATTACAGTGAAGCAGTCATATTTTTCCCAGCTGAGTACTGAAATGCAGAAAGGATGAAACCCAGAGCACTTATTTGTCTCGGGTAAGGGGACATCTTTTTAGA